CTGCTGTCGGGCCTCGTGCATGTTGCCCGCATGTGTTCGCTCTGGGCGTGCCTGTTTCGCAGTGCACCGAGTTAGAGGAAGCACAGGCACGTCAGAGAGAGGGGGGCCGAGCGGCCATTCCTTGTCTCTGGGTGCGTGGCTGAAATGTGGTTTCCGCTGCGCGGATGATGCTTGTTTGTTATTAGTTCTCGGTTGTTGTTGTTCTTGGACTCTCATTTCCACAGAACAATCATTATTGATCCCCCCTCTGGTAACCATTGCATGCTTAAATTAAAGTGCTCCTTTCGGGGCTTGCACCGTGTTTTTTACAAGGGAGAGCTGGCTATCACCAAACTGTGCCCCCGGCCCCCGGTTTACTACAACAATGGCTCTCGCCTGATACTTCCTCACAATGCATTCCCAACTCGCGCTCTCACACGCGACTTCCTCACAACGTATACAGGAATCGCGCTCTCGCGTGGGACTTCCTCGCAATTCATTCAGGCGCCGCGCCCTCGACACTCAGGAATCACGCTCTCGCTTTGGCCTTTCTCACGATGTATTTGGGAATCGCGTTATCGTTGGAGTTCTCCTCGCGATTCATGCAGGTCGCACGCTTCAGCAACACGCCTTCTCGACCTGGCCGCTTGGGCCCGCCTGCTCGACCCGTCGGTTAGGGTCTACCCGCCCGATGGGCCCGTCTGGTTCTGCCACGTGTTTTCTGCTCCTGGCCCCCTCCTGCTAATCCCATGCTCGATTCTCCTCGCTGCCCCGCCCATCTGTCCTCTCTTCACCTGTTTCAGGGGCTGCACCAATTACACCCGGCAGGTAAGGAAGATATGCCGCCAGAGGGGTACGATCGAAAACGAAGAGGGCGGGTACCCAGCGTTCGGGATGTACGTGTTGAACGGCACGCGAGCAGATAAGAGCGGACAGTCTTAAAATGATTGTTGTTGAACTCTCACTACAGAATAATAATTATTGTTGATCCCACCTCCGGTGACCAGTGCATTTTTTCAACTGAAGTGCTTCCCCCGGGGCTCGCACCCTGTTTTTTACCAGGGGAAGGCACGGGTCTCAAATTGGGTTGATGGCCCTCGGTTTACAGCAACAGCGGCTCCCGCTTGATACTTCCTCACAATGTATTCCCAAATTGCATTCTCGCGCGGGACTTCCTCACAATTTGTATACGAATCGCGCTCTCGCGTGGAATTTCTTCGCAGTTTATTCAGACGATGCGCCCTCCGCGCTCAGGAATCACGCTCTCGCCTTAGCTTTTCTCACGATTTACTTGGGAATCGCGCTGTCAGTTCGAGACTCCCTCGCGATTCATGCAGGACCCACGCTTCAGCACCCCGCCTGCTCGACCTGGTCGCCTGAACCCGCCTTCCCGATCTGCCCGCTATGGGTCTGCCCACCCGATCTGCCCGTCTAGTTCTACCACTTGTTTTCTGCTCCTGCTAATTTCTCTCGTGCTCCAATCTTCTCCCTCCCCCTTCCACCCGTCTTCTCTTTCATTGTTTTAGGGGCTGCACTGCACGTGGCAGGTGAGGAAGTTAGACCCCCAGTGGGGCACGATCGAAGACGAAGAGGGCGGGTACTGAGGGTTGGGGATGCACGTGTTGAACGGCACGTGAGCAGAGGAGCTGTTTCTAGAGAATAATTATGGTTGCTCTCCGGAAACGGTTCTGGGCGCTCTCGCCTCGACGCCGGCTACATTGTATTTTCTCTGAAAACGAGGCTCCTGCTCGAGCGTTGGCTTGAGTGTAAAAGTTGGTTCTTGGAGGCCCGGCTATGATGATAACGGCTCCCGCTCGATATTTCCTCATCATTTACCCCGAGACACCCTGGCCAGAGAGGCCCCCGAACTCAGGAACGGCGCTCTCGCTCGAGGGTTCCTCGCAATTCGGTCAAGTTGGCGGGGGCCCAGCCACGACGACAAGGGCTCCTGCTCGATACTTCCTTACGATTTACTCCGAGAGCTCCTGGCCAGGAAGGCCCCAGAACTCAGAAACGGCGCTCACGCTCGAGACTTTCTAACGATTCAGTCAAACTGGTGGAGGCCCAAATGTGACGACAAGGGCTTCCGTTCAATACTTCCTCAGGATGTATTCGCAGAGGCCCTTGGCAGAGAGGCCCCTTGTAATTCTGATAAGTTGGTGGAGGCCCAGACACGGCGACAAAGGTTCCCGCTCGGCATTTCTCAATGTGTATTCCGAGAGCCCTTGGCCTGGCCAGAGAGGCCCCCGCACTCAGGAACGGCGCTCTCGCTCGAGGCTTCCTCGCACTGCAGTCAGTGACCGAGAAGGAAGATATCATCCCCGACAGGGGGTGCGATCGAAGACGAAGTGGGCGGGTATCGAGGGTTGGGGTATACAGAATGCAAAACACGCCTGCCAGTAGGTGCGAACAGTCTTTTAAATGATTGTTGTTGTTGTTGCTGCTGGTGTTGTTGATGTTGTTGTTGTTGTTGTTGTTGTTGTTGTTGTTGTTGTTGTTGTTGTTGTTGTTGTTGAGTTCTCATTTCTAAAGAATAGTTGGTGTCGATCCCCTCTCCAGTAACCATTGTTTCTTCCTCACAATGTATGCAGGAATCGCGCTCTCGCGTGGGACTTCCTCGTTATTTATTCAGACGCCGCGCCCTCGACAACGCTCTCGCTGTGGATTTCCTCACGATTTATTTGGGAATCGCGCTGTCGCTTGAGACTTTCTCGCGATTCATGCAGGACGCACGCTTCAGCAACCCGCCTGCCCCTTTTCCCTTCCTTCCGTCCGTCCTCTCTTCCCCTGCCTTAGGGGCTGCACGGAATACACGTTTGAGGTAAGAACGATATACCCTTAAGCGGGTACGATCGAAGACGAAGAGGGCGGGTATCGAGGGCTTGGGATATACGTATTAAATGGCACGCGAGCAAATAAGAGCGAACAGTCTTAAAATGACGATTGTTGTCGTCGTCGTCGTCGTCGTCGTCGTCCTCGTCGCCTGCGACAATCCAGTGACTCACCCGCGACCCACCCCGCGACCCACCTCGCGACCCACCTGCGACCCACACCGCGACCCACGCACCCACCCGCCCCCTCAAACTTTTCCGTTCTTGCTGGGTGCTACAGTCAACACGCATAGTAAGGATGAGCACCTTTCCCAGGTCACCCTTGCATCCTTCCCCTTCGGCCCATCCCTGGCCGCTCTCCCTCGCCAGGCCCCGCCCGCACAGTGCCGACATGGCCCTCCAAGGCCCTTGCATCCTTACCGTGCGCTCTTCCTACACGGGTGGGCAGTACGCACCTGTTCCTGGGGTCCGCGTGGAGAACTTTGGGATGTGCTACGGACCCCTCCCCCCAGGGGCAGGACTCTCCGGGCGGCCAGAGCGTGCGCCCTTGCTATTCGGGTTGATGGTACGCCCATTTTCAAAGGTCCGCGCGGAGGACTTCTTGGATGTGGCTGCGGACCCCCCGCCCCCAGTGTTTGGTCGGGCCTGTCCCTCTACGGGAGGAACATTCCGAAATGGTCAAAACATCGTCAGGGGACGATTTTCCTGTTTTCTTTTAATGCTGTTTTGAACTATGTGTGGACTATCTTTACTTTTCCGCTAAAAATCCGCCTGCATGGGCGACGTGCGCGACCTACAGTCGGGGCGTTGAAGAAGGAACCTTTTGCGTTGGGGAGGGGCTCGGTGTTCCTTAATTGTTCCACACCTTGCCGAAGGTTTTCCTGAAGTTTTCTATGGGAAGTCGAAGTTTAATGCATGGAAAAAAGAGGCCTCGTTCCTTATTTAGGGTTCCTTAGGTCAACGCCTCGACTGTAAACCTCCCCCACCCCAGCGGCAGGCCTCTCCAGGCGGCCGGGCGCCCGGCACGCTCTCTCGCGGCTCCTGCGGACGGGCGCGGCCGCCGGCGCCCCGGGCCGCGACGGCGCAGTTTTGGCCACGCGCCCGGCCACTTTGACGGCCTGCGCTCCCTCCCTCGCTCCCTCCTGCCCTGTCAGTCCTCCCTCCCTGCCTCTCTCCCTCCCCTCCCCTCCCCTCCCTCCCTCCCGCCCCTCCTTCCTCCCCACCCTCCTCCCTCCCCCGGCCAGGCCTATCGCCGATTCACATCGGCCCACTCGATGCATCGGATTCCCCCCATAATGCCAGTCCCCCCCCTACCGTTGCCCCTCCCATCCGCACTCCTCAGTCCCTGCCACCCGTGGCCATTTTGGCTCGAGCCATCGTGGCTCAAGCCATCTCGGCTGGGGATCCACTGGGCGGGCGCGCACCGCGGCCGCCGCCCCAGCTTGCACCGGCGCACTTCGGGGTGCCAATCGGTGTCGACACGTCCTGGCTCGCCTACAGGCCCACCGAAGAATGTTCTAAGAACCTTTTGTGGTTTGCACGAAATGTTTTCAGAACTGTTCTGGTTGGGGCTGTCTTGTTTTAGCACATCGGGTTTGTGCTCTAAGAGCATTGCTGTTGTTCTTAGAATTGTTCTTAGAACTGTGTTAGCACATCGGGTTCTAAGAACATTTCGTGGTAGGCCTATGCGAATGCCGGGACGGTCGGCCCCTGCTCAAGGATGGCTCGTCGGTGCGGGCCAGAGCATGGGATGAGCGTGGCCAGGGCAGGGCCTTTGGCGGTGCTCCGTGGCACGGGCGCTGCACGGTGGGCTCGAGACCCTTCATCGGGGACCAACTTGATGCCGAGGGCTCGGGCGACGTGGACGCGGAGTTCTCCGCCGAGCCGCAGAACGACCTGGAGGAGGTTGGGGGTCACGCTGGAGATGGTCGTGGTGTTCGCGGCGCAGAGGCCGAGGAGTAAGTCGGGCGTGTCCCTCTACAGGATGAATATCCCAGAATGATAAAAAATAGTTGGGGGACGTTTATTTATTTATATATATGTGTATCTGTTGACAATGTTTGAGTATTGATTGACTATTGTTTGTTTTTTTGTCCAGATCCCTCTGTGGGCGGACGTGCCCGACTTAGAAGCCGAGGGGCAGGAGAGCGAGGGCGGCCCCTCTTCGTGCTCCCTGCCGCCCCCTGCGTCGCCCGAGCGGGGCCGTTGCTGCCGGCGGCGCCCGTACTTCCAAGAGGGCAGCACCGAGGGTCAAGCAGTGGCGAAGCGTCCTGGCTCGCAAATACAGTCGGGGCGCTGAGGAAGGAATCCTTTTCGTTGGGGAGGGGCTCGGTGTTCCTTGATTGTTTCACAGCTTGCCTCAGGTTTTCCCAAGGTTTTCGATGGGGAATCGAAGTTTAACTTATGGGAAACGAGGGGCCTCGTTCCTTATTTAGGGTTCCTTAGGTCAACGCCCCGACTGTAGTCCCAAAATAGTCTGGGGACGATTTGTCGACTCTGCTCCGACCATGTTTTTTGATGCTTTTGAGCTATGTTTGATCCTTCCTCCAGAGATCCACCTGTGGGAGGGCATGCCCGACCTGAGAGCAGCAGCGTGCGTGCGCGAACGGCACCCCCGCGGGTCGATCTGGCCCGCTCGAGCCGGCAGGGGCAAGAGGGCGGGAGTGGCCCCCCGGCGGGCGTGGCACGCGTTCGCTGGGGAGCATCGCTCAAGCAGTGGCGAAGCGTCCTGGCGTGCGTATAGGCCTACCAAACAATGTTCTGAGAACATGTTTGGCGGAAGATGTCTTGTCTTATCACGTCTTGTTCGTGTTATTAGAACATTGTTTTTGTTTTTAGAACGTTTTTGGGTTCTAAGAACATTGCGTGGTAGGACTATAGGAATGCCGGGACGGTCGGTCCCTGCTCAAGAGGGGAAGACCATCGAGGAGACCGCTCTGGTGCTGCATGGGGCATCTCGTGAAAGGCAGCGCCGAGGACCGTGGAGCTGCCGATGGCGTCAAGTCGGGCCTGTTATGCGAACATAGTCAAAAAATAGTCTGGGGACGATGTTTCTATTTTTTTGTATTTTTTTGTAGTTGTATTGTTTTTTGTTTTCGCTCAGAATCCGCCTGTAGGGGACGTGCTCGGCCTAACGATAGCGCCGCGCGACGAGAAAGAGTCCAAGATGGTGGAGCTGCCGACGGCGCCCGCACACCGAGGGCAGCGTCGAGGAGGCGCACACCGAGGACGCCGCGGAGGTGCTGAAGGCGCAGCTCGTGGGGGGGCAGCGCCGAGGCGCCGTGCGCAGGGACGAAGTTCGAGGAGCTGCGCGTCGCGGCGAGGCGCCCGACCATTCTTCCGCCTCACGACTTCTCTGACGGCGCTTCAGCTGCCTGCGTCGCTCGCGAGCAAGAAAAGTCGCGGCGAGGCGGGGCCGAGGGGCCCACGGTGTTGGCCAGCCGGGCGGCTGCGCGCACGCCAGGGCGGACGAGGCGGAGGCCAGGCACGGCGCGCCCGTGGGCGTCGAGGCGGCTGCGGTTGCGCCTGTGGCTGCGCGCGCCCCCTCCGCGGAGGTGCAGGTGCAGGCAGGGTGTCAGAGGGCTTCGGCCAGGCGCTGCGCGCCGGCGGGCTCGCGAAGCACACGAGGGACTTCTTCCCCGAGGTGGTGATGCGTCGCGCTGGTGCCCTGGCATCGCTCGGACGTGTGCATTTTTTCTCGGCGAGAACCATTGGGAACGATCCTGGACCACCGAGGAAAAAGAACACGCACGAAACCGAAAAATGCACGGGAAATGGACGTTCGAGCGATGGCGAGGTGCCGACCGCCAGGGCCGCAGTGGGCGGCAGCTGCGAACAGCTGCTGGGCGCGGCTTGACGAAGAGCCGGTGTCCTTCCGGGGGGCGGCCTGGGCTGGGCGCCCGCCGCGCTCGGGGCCGCGGGGTCCCTGGGTGCGGCCCGGGTGGCTGCGTTCGGTGGCCCGCGGGTCTCCGTCCCCGCGGGGGTGGCCCGGGCCTTGGCCACGGCATCCCCTTGCCGGGCGGGCCGCTGCTGGGGGTGCGCCTGGTCTGGTGGGGCCCTCGGGCTCCTCGCCGCCGCTGCCGCCAGCTCAGGGGTTGCCTTGCCGCCGCCGCGGCAGCAGGGCGCAGTGCTCGGACTTCCGTCCCGTGCCGATGTTGCTCCCGTCGTACTTACGGACCACGTTTGTGATGTTCCAACCTACTTTAGTCTCGATCACCAGACAGAGTTCCGAGCACCAAAAAAGCACCGAAACTCGAGGGCTTTCACGCGTCTGGCCCTGGGAAACACTCGTCCGACAGTGTTTCGACACTGCCTCGACACTCTTTCGACATTTTTCCAGGTGTTCGAATTTATTTTTTGGATGTGGTCCGTAAATACGACTGGAGCAACATAAGACCACATCCCATTAATAATTCCGAGCGCTTGGAAAAGTGTCGAAAGAGTGTCAAAACAGTGCCGAAACAGTGTCGGACGAGTGTCTACCAGGGCCCGACGCGTGAAAGTCTTCTAGTTTCGTTTTTTATTCTGGCGCTCGAGATTTTTTCGGGTGGTCAAGGCTAAGGTAGGTTGGAACATCATAATCCCATGCCCCATTCCATTCCATCCCGCCGTCCCTGCTTCCTGCCCTCCCCCCTCCCTCCCTCCTCCCTCCTCTCTCTGGGAGCTGGAGCACGGGGAGTGGGATTAGGTCGGGCGTGCCCCTCTACTGGAGGAAGACACAAAAATAGTTAACAAAATCGTCGGAGGACTATTTTCTATTATTTTTTTCATCTTGTGCATTTTTTACTATTTTTCATTTTCCCTCCAATTCGCCTGTAGGGAGACATGCCCGACCTAATAGTGGGACAGCCACGCACCTCACGCGCCGTGCCACACCAGGCAACCGGGCGTCGATCTCGTTATACTTTTCTCGGTGGAGTAGGGGGATGGTCTGGGGCGACGAGATCTATGCCCATATCCGCTGCCCCTCGCCTGGCCCATGCTGGGCCCCGGAGCGGAATAGATGCCTCGCTGGCCAAGCCAGGAGGGCGTATACACCATTCCTGGGCCCATGATGGCGTGGCCAGGGGCCGTGGATGTGTATCGATCTCGTCGCACTGTGGCTGGGGTTGGCGAAGCGGGGAATTCGGGAACGGGAGGGGCGTACCAGAGCTGGTGCGTGCATCTGGCTTCGGCGCCGCGGCCAGGACCCCCTGCCTCGATACCCGGTCGCCCCCCGGCGCTGGGAGTCGCCAGGGGAACCAGCTGCGTACGTCAGAGGAGGAAAGGTACTGATGCCGCTGCCCCTGTCTCGTTTTCGCCTTATTGAGGCCTCCTGGGAGGCATTCGTCGCCACCGCTGGACTCGCCTCGAAATTCTGGTCAGAACGCATCCCAGGAGAGGTCCGGGTATTAGCGGCATCGGTTTATTTTTGTTTCCCCCATACGTTCGCCTGGTTCGCCGACCTCCTGCCTGCTACCCGTTTCCCTTCGTCTACCCCCGTGAGGGGGGAGCGGCCGTGCCTTGGCGCGACAAGGCTAATATCTTTGCTGTGCGGCCCCGATTTTCTGAGCGCCGCTTCAGGGGTCGGAGAAACGTAAGACTCCAGCAAGCCAGAACTCGGGTTTGCCAATTTTTTTGTTGACGAGCGCGTCCTGGATTTTGACGGTCCCGTTTTCGTGGGATGCCTGCAGCGGGGGCCCGCCTCGAATTTCAGATTGGGCCTCGTAATTTTTACGATGGCCCCCGTCGGGCCAACCCGAGTCCCCCGTGCCCGAGTCTTACGTCTCCCCGAAGGGGAGGCGCCGTGGCACCCGCCGTCGACTCTCTCTCTACTTCCGGCGCTTCGGCTCGCGCGTCGAGAAAGCTGGGCCGCGGCGAGCCGTGCGTGCGCGCTCAGAGGTGAGACGCTCGATAATCCTAGCCGTAGTCGGGCCGGTCCCATTGCAGGAGGAAGATTCAAAAATGGTCCAAAAACAGTCAGGGATTCATGTTTCTGTTTTTAGTTGTCTTTGACTATTTTTCATGTTTGTCCACAATCCGCCTGTAGGAGGACATGCCCGACGTAGTCCTAGCACAATGTGTGTGTTTACCCTGCTCAGCTCCGCCGACGGGCCACAGTCTGTCTCACAGGAGGGCAGCTGAGACAACGGTAGTGGGACTTCGGCAGGCCCCCGAGTCCGCGCGATTGGACGCAGCTCGGAAACTTGGTACGCCTGGACCCTGGGAGGGGTCTGGGGATCGACACTGGAGTTGCCTGTGTCTCAATTCGCCCTGCTCCGAGCGTCGGCCCTCGTTGCGACGCCTCTGTCGCACCGAGGCGCTCCGGTGGACAACGGGCGGCGGAAGTGAGAAGGAGAAGACCTCCTCAGAAGGCGGCGGGGCTTCTCAGAGGCCTTCGTGCCTTCTGAGAGGTTTTTTCGGTGTCTTCGGGGAAGGCCTGGGGACAAAGACTTCTCAGCAGTGCCGAGGCCTGCCGAGCCTTCCGAGAGGGCCTCCTCCTGTCCGCTTCCCCTTCCGGGCTCGCCGCCGAGCGGATGCGGGGCTGCGTGCCCCAAGGGATGCCGAGGGCTCCGCGGGACTTGATCGGGCCATTCTCGCCGGCGGGCGTCCGCGGGCTCCGTGGCCGCGTCGGGGCTCCGTGGTCCTGGACTCCTCGAGCCACTCCCGGCGCCTGCCGCTCGCAGGGCGGGGGGCACGCCGCAGGCAGCACCGCGCTCGCCGCCGAGAGGAGCACACTCGAGGACAACGACAGGGCGGGGGGGGGGAGGTGCATCGACCCCCAATCGCCCACTGATCGCCGCTGGGGGCCCGATAGCCCCAACCTGCCCAGGAAGGTGCGGATTCACTATCGGAGGCCTGTCGCCGATTCCGGGTCAATGCATCCCCCCCTGTGCCAGGTGCCTCCTACCGTTGCCCCTCCCGTCCTCACTCCTCCGTCCCTGCCACCCGTGGCCATTTTGGCTCGAGCCACTCTGCCTCAAAGGCCACCTCGGCTTGGGCCCACTGCGCGGGCGCGCGCCGCGACCGCCCTCCCAGCCTGCACCGCCGCGCTCCGGGAGGGCTCGCCGGTGCTGGCCAGAGCACGGGACCCACGACGCTCCACGCGCGCGCTGGTGCCCGCACGGGGTTTTGTGTACTTCAGGAACAACCGATCGTAGGTTTGAACCTGGATAAACATTGAATTGCCAAGATAATCGTAAGATAAATCGTGAATTGCCAAGATAATCGTGCGCGCTGGTGCCCGCACGCGCGCTGGTGCCCGCGCGCGCCCCGAGGGTCGCCGAGGCGGAGGGCCGAGGCGCAGAGGGCGGCCAGCCGGCTCGGCAGGGCGCCCCTCGTCTGCCAGCAGGGCGCCCTGGGTGGCGCCCGCTCGCTCGCCGGCGTGCACCTGGCAGGGCCGAGCGCCAGGGAGCCTTTGGAGAATTTTAAAGAAAGTTTTGAAGAAGACAAAAAAACAGCCATAACATATTTCATAAATTCGATATCTCGAGCAGTTAACCTTCATTGTCTACAATAACAAGTAGAGGACCGAAGGAAGAAGCCGAGCCATCCTGAGCCATCTTGGAGGCCATCTTGGGCTCTCTGGTTAGGATGTTCCAGCTTTGCTTCGGCCTCGACCACCAGAGAGAATCGCGAGCACCTGAAATCGTACCGAAACTCGAGGGTTGTCACGTGTCGGGCCCCAGGAGACGCTCGTCCGACACTGTTTCGGCACTCTTTCGACACTTTTCCGGGTGCTCGAAATTATGTTTTGGATGTGGTCCTTAAGTACGATGGGAGCAACATCAAATAGGGCTATCTTGAGCCATCTTGGAGGTCATCTCGGGCTCTCCGAGGCCCTCCTAGAGCCATCTTGGGCCATCTTGGACGCTCCAGCGCCTCGCGAACCCCTCCCACTCCAGTTCCAGGGGAGGGGGTAGGGAGAGGGGTCAAGACACCCTCTCCGCACGCAAGCCGTCTAGCTCACTCCCACCCGCCCTCCCACCACATACATGGCATCCGAGTCTCGGCATAGCCAGGGGTCGCCACTGGATGGACAGCCACTGGGAACCAAAGCGGACGCCAGGTGCGCGACGCTCGCCGCGGGCTCCACATGCAGTTGGTGTGCCATCCTTGTAAAAAACGTGATGCCCCCCCGTCCGCATGGTCCAGATGCTGAAGTGGGGGGCGTCAGCATTGTTCTGGGCCTGCGCATAGCAAGCATCATCATGCGGGCACCACCGCCGTCCCTGTTAAAAAACCATACAAAGTGATCGCACGTTGCCAGCACAATATC